TGAATTTTTAAGGCCCTAAGCGAACCTCTAAGATGGGGCATCTACATTTTTGCTTACCACTCAAAAAATAAAGAAGTCTTCTTGTTTGATATTTTAACCATTCAAAAAAAAAAAAAAAAAAAAATCTTTTATAATAAAAAAAAAAAAAAAAAAAATTGAACAAGTTAAACCACAATGTCACTTAAATATTACTATTCTTACATTTGTAGTTGCAAAATTAGACCAAGATGAATTCGTTCTTCTTCTTCTTCTTTTTTCATATATAAATAAATACTTTTTAGAAAGTATGATTAAATAAACAATTCGAATCACAATTCATGAAGCAAAAACCAATTGAAAGTTTAAATAATTCAATTTTTAAGAAAAGTTAACTAATAATTGAAGTAAAATCTGGAATGATAAAAATCAGAAGGTATCTAAATAGAATATTAAGATATGAGAAAGTTCAATGAATTGAGTTGTGGACAAGTTTGGTAAAATATAATCAAGGCCATTTATTAATAAAAGGGAATAAATTCGTGGATTGGTCTGCTCAAGTTCATGGGGCTCATTGTGGGTCTTATTTCGATAATTCAGACCGTTCAATATGTAAAGTTTGTCGAGTATTTCATTCTTGCAAAAATCATATTGATCGAATTAAGTTTCTGTCAACAATTTATTTTGAAAATCATATTTACTATTGACAGAAATATGATTTGATCAAGTGGCTATCGATATTCGATTAACGTAATTTCTTTCAAGGATTAAGTATTTGGCAAGTTTTACACATTAAACAGTTTGGATCATCAAAAAATGACATATGATGGGCCCCACAGGTTCAACAACACGCTCCAGTCTGATCTCATATTGGAAAGAAGCCTGGCCTTTAATAAAAATAGTTCTATTTTTCGATTTGGTACTAAGCTAGACTTAGGTAGTGTTTAATAAAACTTAAAACTAAAATTTAAAAATTAAATACTGAAAATTGAATTTTAAAATTTTAAAATTGAAAAGTTATTTAATAAAAAATTAAGTATTGAATTAAAATAAATTATTTGATAGATAAAATTTGAAATTTTTTAATTTTTAATTTTTAATTTTATATGATATCATGTGTACTATATTAAACAAGCGTCTTTAACTATTTGCTTGACTCGAATTGTTTGCATGTTGAATGGTAGATGGTTAGGCAAGAGGATTCTGTTTATTTCATTGTACAAATCAATGTTGGAAGTACAAAGGCTTGTGATTTGAACATGGAAAAATTGAAAAGTTAATTAATAAAAAATTAAGTATTGAATTAAAATAAATTATTTGATAGATAAAATTTGAAATTTTTTAATTTTTAATTTTATATGATATCATGTGTACTATATTAAACAAGCGTCTTTAACTATTTGCTTGACTCGAATTGTTTGCATGTTGAATGGTAGATGGTTAGGCAAGAGGATTCTGTTTATTTCATTGTACAAATCAATGTTGGAAGTACAAAGGCTTGTGATTTGAACATGGAAAATAATAATAATAATAAATGGGACACAGGCTTATGAATTATTTTATTGTTTGCTCAAAAAAAGAAGTCGAGCAATAATTGAGATTGGTGGTCTCTCTTACCTCACCATCTCGGGACACCAGCCTTTTCAAATGAAGAAAATAGATCGGATCCATGAGAGAACTTGTGGGTTTAAGGGCCAACACATGTCCTGCTTCGGTTGTTTAGAGTATCCATTTTGTAAGACTTTTAAAGTATAATATGTATGAAAAAATTAAATTAATCCAATACTATTGGCACTAAAAAGTAATTTTCTATCGATTATGACTGGTTATTTATGACCAAATCTCGTTTAGTTGATTATGGCTCGTCGATTATGATCAAATCTAATCTCATTGGTTGTGATCAGTCGATTTTAGTTTGTCGATTCAAACTATAAATTATTTTAACATAAAATTAAAGTCACGTCACTAAAAATTATTTTTGTCTATCGATAAACATGTCCAAGCATGGAGAGATGATCCAGTTTGTGGTAGGAGCAAGGACCACAAGATTGGTGACACGTGTGGGCTCCGAAATGTAGAACAAGTGATAGAGAAGAAGCAGTTAAAGGAGCAGTTTCATAACAGTGATAGCAGAGGCAATTTCTTCTATCAATATGCCTGAAAATGTGATGGAACATAGCCAAACGTGACCCAGGAGTAAAGCCATGAGTTTATGGATATGTTGATGCATGACATGTGGTTTATTCGCACAAATTGAAGAGAAAGATAAGGCTACAGCAAATGAAACAGTTGCAGGCGGTTGTGGAGATCATGGGTAGGAGTTATTCAAAGAAGTGGAAGTAACTTGTTTCATAAAACACGTGACAAAATATGGATAGCATGACCAGTGACATAAAGGCTGAAAATTCGAAGGAGGGAAGGACACATAAAAAAATCAACTCACAACTTGAAAATCTAAGAGTAGTCTAATATATCTAGGAATAGTAGTACTTGTAATTAGGAGTAGCAATAGTAGTAGTGGTTAGCATTTGTAGTCTGTACAAAGATCTATCGATTGTAGTGTCAAAGAACTTGTAATTTGATCCTTTATGGTTAAAGTGCCAAGTTTTTTTTATTCTCAGTCAATTTCTAGTTGTATTTACTTTGTTTCTTCAAGAAGTAAACCTCCAAAGAAGTCCTTGAACCAGAGAACTTGTGGGTTTTAGGGTCAACACATGTCCTGCTTCGGTTGTTTAAATTATCCATTTTGTAAGACTTTTAAAGTATAATATGTACGAAAAAATTAAATTAATCCGATACTATCGGCATCAAAAAATAATTTTCTATCGATTATGACTTGTTAATTATGACCAAATCTCGTTTAGTTGATTATGGCTCGTCGATTATGACCAAATCTAATCTCATTAGTTGTGATTAGTCAATTTTAGTTTGTCGATTCAAACTATAAATTATTTTAACATAAAATTAAAGCCACGTCACTAAAAACTATTTTTGTCTATCGATAAACATGTCCAAGCATGGAGAGATGATCCAGTATGTGGTAGGAGCAAGGACCACAAGATTGGTGACACGTGTGGGCTCTGAAATGTAGAACAAGTGACAGAGATGAAGCAGTTAAAGGAGTAGTTTCATAGCAGTGATAGCAGAGGCAATTTCTTCTATCAATATGCTTGAAAATGTGATGGAACATGGCCAAACATGACCCAGGAGTGAAGCCATGAGTTTAGGGATATGTTGATGCATGACACGTGGTTTATTCGCACAAATTGAAGAGAAAGATAAGGCTACAGCAAATGAAGCAGTTGCAGGCGGTTGTGGAGATCATGGGCAGGAGTTATTCAAAGAAGTGGAAGTAACTTGTTTCATAAAACACGTGACAAAATATGGACATCATGACCAGTGACATAAAGGCTGGAAAATCGAAGGAGGGAAGGACACAAAAAAATCAACTCACAACTTGAGAAATCTAAGAGTAGTCTAATATATCTAGGAATAGAAGTACTCGTAATTAGGAGTAGCAATAGTAGTAGTGGTTAGCATTTGTAGTCTGTACAAAGATCTATCGATTGTAGTGTCAAAGAACTTGTAATTTGATCCTTTATGGTTAAAGTGCCAAGTTTTTTTTATTCTCAGTCAATTTCTAGTTGTATTTACTTTGTTTCTTCAAGAAGTAAACCTCCAAAGAAGTCCTTGAACCCATCAAGACATTAAAACACTCAGTCACGTTGTTTGATCCTATTGTTTGTGAAAATTGATTTGTTTGTTGTCTGTCAATATTACACCCAAACCAAATTTTTGCTAAGAGATACTTATAACATTCTCATCTTATTGCATTTATCTTTTAAAAAATAAATGACAAGTACAATTTTAAAAATAGATTATTCATTTTTTTTGAGATAAACTCAATAAAATAAAATAAAATAAATTATGATTATCATATCAATTTTTTTTTTTTTCAATGAATGATGCATACAAAAGTTTTTACAAATAAACAGTTCAACAATCATGTAGTGGACTCCATAAATTTGGGGATGATGCTGCTGCGCGTGCTGTTTGGCAAAATGTGTTCATTTCGGAACTCATTTTAATAATTCAAACCGTTCACATTTTAAAATACATCCAGTAGAACATGTCTGTAAAAAATTAAGTTAATCGGATATCATTTACCTATTCATCCACTCACATTTGTATTCATTTTAATACTTTAAATCACAATTATTATTTATTTTTATAGATAGAAATATGAGTGAATGAATGAGTAAACAATATCCGATTAACTTGATTTTTTATAGGCATGCTCTACTTGATGTATTCTAAAATGTGAACGGTTCGAATTAACAAAATAACCCAGAAATGGGCTCATTTCACCACACAACAGTATCCCCAATCCCTGGATTCCATAAACCCCTTAAGTTTTTAGATTCAAATTTAAATTTGAAAAAAAAAGAAAAAAAAACCACCAACCCTAGACGTATAACGTAACCCCATGTGTACATACCGCAAAAAACCGTAACCCCATGCGACTCAACTTTGGATGTTATATAATTTTTTATTTTAAAAGTTTGTTTTAAACTGTTTAATGTATTAAATAAAAAATAACTTAAATAAGATTAAAAATAAAAACTATAAAATTAGAGAAGGATGCTTTTAGCTTACAATAAGAGTGTTAAAATTCAAATATGTACAAGAAGTGTTCGGCAAAAAATATGAGACACATCCCTTACCCTTATCCAATTGTTGAGGGTTTGCCATAGGCATTTTGAAAAATCCATGTAAACATAGGTTACCACTTAAACTATCAAACATAATAATAAAATTCTCACAAAGCCCAAAATTGAAAGATATATCAACATTCTCCATCCTTCGATTTTCAAGAGAAAAAACCAAGAATTTAAGAAAAAAACATTTGTTTTCCGATAGATTTTCTTTTATTTTTTTTGAGATCTGAAATCGCGGTTATGGAGCATAAATGTCACCCCTTAGTAGTAGGAGAATCCTGCAACTAAATTCAAAACTCATGCCCAGCAGCTCAAGAAAGCATATAATGCACTCAAAAAGATCATCATCCAAAAAGGTTATCTTACACTTCACAAATACTAGACACAAAAGACATCCTCCCAGTGTGCTGAGGAATCCGGAAAGGGGGGAAGAAAGAAAAAAAGTAGGGGAGGGACGTTTACTTACAGTGATTATCAACTAAGACAAAATTATGAAAGCCTCAAATACTTTCATGACTCGCTTTCTCATCTCTTTCTCTTGGCAGCTGACCCTGAACCACCTCCACGTCCCCCTTTCTCTTTCTTGACTGTGGCTTCAGAGCCGCCTCCTTTGCCTCTGCCTGATGGTGCCTTCTTCGCACTAGTGTTTCCAGCACCCTTCAAGTCCATATGCACTTGAATTCCTACAGAATTTAGGCACACATATTCCAGGAATTCTGAATATATAAAAAATATATAGAGAAATACTTTTAAAAAAACCTTAGGGCCGTTCTTCTGTTGGAAAATTTGTATCAAGTGTATTAAAATGGGTAGAAAAATGTATTAAAATGTTGAAAGTAATTTGGAATATGTCAAATGTGTATTGGCTTTATGTGATTCAAACATATATATATATATATATATAGAGAGAGAGAGAGAGAGAGAGAGCATAAAAACATGCGCGCAAAGGGAAATAAATTGAAATTGTTAAATAAAAATTTCCAACATTTATTCAACAAATAAAAAGTAACCACCAACCTTTCGAGTTAAGACTCTGCAGATCCAATTGCACCTTTTCCTCACCATCAGCAGTATCTCCTGGAATGCACCAGAAGCAAGAATTAAAATAATATATATATATTCACCAGCAAAACCTGAAAACTCTTTAAAGAAATTTATTGAGGTAGTTAAACTAACATTCAAAATGGCAAAATAGAAGGGACTTTTAAGGTGGAATTTGTTAGAGTTTGAAACATCAAACATTAATTTTTTTATTTAAATAAGTTTCCCAATTTTTTTTAACTCAAAAGTATATATATATATATAGGAAAATGCTATACAAACAAAAAAAAATTACAAATTTTTCTTACAAACTGATGTGGCATGGAGTGATACAACTTTGGAATGTGAAATGAGGCCCAACTTACTAATATTCTAGGTGACACATCAGTTTGTAACGAAAGTTTGTTTGAAAAGTTTGTTTGTATAGCATTACTCATATATATATATTTGTGGAAAATAGTCTTCTCCTCTTGACAGATTGGATTAGAAAATTACTTTTTAACTTTCTCCCCTGATGAAGATACATGACATTGGCTAACCACTCAAACAATTTCTATGATGACAACCCAAATGTCACAATGAAAACAAAAATAGAAGTTTCCATTACTGGAGAGCACATGTATCATTGTCAATATATGCAAACACTATTCAATGGAGCCAGTTGATTTCCTTGGCCCTCTCACCATCTGCCAAATACAAAATCAATCAAATCGAACTGCTATTGCAATGCCATGTGACAAATGACAGATTAAAACTGGATAAAATTTGAAGGTATTGATGGCAAAAGTTGTTAAATTCCCAGAATTTTTAATTTTTTCCCCCTTCATAATTTTGTTTAACAGAGAGCCTCAAGGAAGTTACAAGAAGAAACACCCAAAAAGGCCACTGTTTGAAGTTTTACTTTGCACAGTAATAAACCATAATACAAAAATACTCCAAAATCATGATGCTATGGGACTTAAAAGATCCCCATTAAAATTATACGAGTTCTCTTATTACAATTTTACAGTACGATGTAGCTGTAGATCATGTAAAGACCAATCAATCATAAAAGGGATCGGAGAAAAGAACCGTACCCGAGTCCTCTGTGTCTGAAGAATTCTCTTCTTCGTTTTCTGCCAATGCATCACCATTCTCCTCTGCTAATCCTTCTTCCACTGGTTCTAGCATTGCCGCGACCCGTTTTTTAGGAACCTTTTTAATACCGGGAAGGGTAATTAAATCAGCAGTCCGAATCACACGTGAGCTACTTCCTTTATTGTACGCCTTTGTCAGCGCAGCTTTGACAGCTGGCTGTACGCCATCTAGTGGATTTGGGCGTCCCTGATGAATACGGTATCCACCACATGATTAGGGAGTTTCATGAACTGTTTTGAGATAGTAGGATTAACAGTGTACCTACCTGAAGTTTTGATATCTCCACAATAGTATTAAAGTCATCCTGGCTTATAGAGTAAGAATCCATAAACTCAACAACTTTCTCCACAGCTTCATCCTGGTGATTATTTTCAATTAGAAGAAAATCATATGCATTAACAACTAAATTCAACTACCATTGGATAATCAATAAAATAATTCCAAACCTTCGGCAGCAGTCGAAGTGGATCAGTCAACCGTTTGAGAAGAGGAGTAACGTAGTCAACTCGCAATGTTGTCCTGCAACATTTACAGAATCAGAGTAGTTAAGCAACTTGCAAGAAAGAATGAGACCACGAATTCTGCAAGCTCCCCAGACAAATTAGAGATGGTAAATAAATACCCTTAGGGCACATATGCATTCATTCCAAATAACTTGATGAGGATCAAAAATATGAATGTTGCGATTATCAATCAATTCATGAAAAAAAGATTCGCAAGAGAACAAATCTGAGGGATGAATGGACACAACCTTATATCGATGGACTTCCTACCCAATGAAACATTATGAACAATGGTTAATAAGAATGCCAAATCACTTGAATCTCAGTCATTTTGATTTCTGGAAGAAAGAAAGAAAGAAAGTGTTCTCAATAAATTGAAGCCTCATAGGAACAGGTAATAGAGGCTTTCTGTGAACGAGACAAACAACACAATCGTGAAAACAAGTGATCAAAAGAAGTATCACCAATCTCAACATCCTCCTAAAACCAAACAAGGCCCCCATTCCCACCTTAAATGCTCAAGTATAGATTCCTATGCTCATGTGAAAGGCCGCGGCCAACTGGCCTGTAGCTCTAAAAGGATCCATCCATGGGAGAAATGACCAATTCCCTAAGAAATGCACTTCCACAGAGATCTAAAATTGCCCTTATAGACCACATGAAAATCTCAACCATTGGATTTAATCTATAGTTGCTCTCAATCATAACATGCCATAGAGAATCTCTCTCAGTGGGGAATCTCCATAACCATTTACCTAACAATACTTTATTCTTAGCAACAATGTTTTCATTGGCATGGCCCCTTTTGTTTTTAGGAATAATCACCACATCTCAACAAACTAATGATCCCTTTCCCCCTAATTGCAACCTTCCCACAAAAATTCCTTATCAACTCTTCAACTTTGTTAGCCGCACCCACCGGAATCTTAAATAATGATAAAATAATAAATAGGAACACTAACCAAAATTGACTGAACGAAAGTAAACTACCTCCCTTAAAAATCATAACCCTCTTCTAATCCATTATTTGCCCAATCTTCTCAGTGACTGGATTCCAAAAGTCAACAAACCTAGGACTTCCTCCCAACGGTAACCCTAAATACTTAACTGACAAGGACTCAATGGAAACACTAACAAACTAGCCAACCTTTTAAACCTATCCATTGGAAAATTAACGCCAAATATGACAATCTTATTCATTTCACCTTAAGTCAAGAAGCCACCATAAAAATCCTCTATATGCCAAACAAATTAACCATGCCACCTTTACCCCAAGAAAAAAAAATATGGTATCATCTACAAACTGTAAATGAGACACAAAGTTTATCCCTCCCCTAAACAAAATTATTTAACCAATCCTAACACCCTAGCCCTATCTACCATTCTTGCCAAAATGTCCCACCACTAAATTGCATAAATATGGGAATAAGGGATCCCCTTGTCCAAGTCCTCTTGAAATCTTCAAAAGCAAACCGCGCCTTACAGTTAACTATAATAGATACATTACACATGGAACAACCACCATGAATCCAAGTTCTCTATTTATCCCCAATTTTTTTAAAAAAAAATAAAATCCAAAAAAACCCACTCAATATGACCACACGCCTTCTCACAGTCAACCTTGAAAATAATATCCTCTTTACTACTTCCTCAATAATCCTCCTCGAAAGCCCCCTGAGAAAAGAAAATGGTCTCTCCTAAAACCAAATTTAGTCTCCTTGATAACACTTCAGCCAAACCAAACTAAGCCTTGTGTCCAATGAAGTTGGTCGGCTACACTTAGCCAAAAATCCCCAATCTTCAATAAATTATCCTTTTCAGGAATTAAACAAATGAAGGAAGCATTCTTGCACATATTCACATTCCATTCTCAAAAAGTTCCCCAACAACCTTTACCAAATCTCTCTTAACTACCTCCTAACAATCCTAGCAACCATCGTAAAACAGTCAAACCCCAGAGCCTTATCAATATCACATTCAAAAACAGTCAATCTAGCCCCTTTCTCCTCAATGGGTTTCTAGCCAATTAACCTTACAAGCCTCGATTGGACACCATGCCAAGCCCTCAATCTTTACTCTCCTTCCTACACAAGGTGTACAACCTAGAATAAAAAGAATAGATTTCAGTAACAGCCTAATTTTCTCATTTGCTACCCTACGAAACAATTCGGAATTGTTATCTCATTCATTTAACCATATAATTTTTTTTGATTTTTGGTTCCATGATATTGGCTCCCTAAACACCATTTTTAACCATTCTCAATTTTTTTCTAGAAACCTCACTTTCAACCTTGTTCAAATCCACAAAAAAAGACCTTATTCCAAACTTTTAATTTATCCTTCATAACTTTGAACTACTTCATAAACTTAAACCCCTCTTGCCTTCTAATCCTACAATTATCCCACCACTCCTTAAAATAGTTTCTAAAAGATTGACGCTCCAACTACTTATTTTCAAACTTAAAGGTCAAAGGACCCCATTAAAAGGAGAACTCCCACAACTGAAGGGCAATGATCCAATGCAACTCGAGGAATCACCTCCTACCTAACACTTGAAAAATTTATCTTCCCACTCTGCTGAAAATAAAAACCTATTCAATCTATAACAAACCAATCTAGCCTGAAGATTTGACCACGTAAAGTGAGCATTAGCCAAAGATGGATCAATCAAATCAAAATCCATAATAGACATGTCAAAATCCCTCACAGTGCAAATAATCCTATCCCTGTTGAGTTTTTCTGAAATTGCCCTAATTACATTAAATTAAAGTCACCCACAAGACACCAATTGTAAAGCCCAAATCATATAGGTCAACTAACTCCTCCCAGAAAGCTTCTCTTCACCTAGGACAATTAGAATCACAAACTCCTATTAACCATCACTCACTTTAATCACCCTTCTTAAACCTAACAAACAATGAAAATTCCCCCTCTAATGACTCAAGTTCATGTAACACACTATCATCCCACATAATCAAAATCCCCCCCGATGGGCCACAGGAAGGTAAAATCACCCATCACTTGTGTTAGCCCCCCAAATGCTTTTACTTAGGGTATGTTTGGTTTGCATTTGGGAGATGAGTTTTAGAAAAAAATTTCTAAAAAATTGTTTGGTTTGAGTTTTTCTCAAAAAATTTCCAAAATCACTTTCTTTCTCTTACACATCAATCAATCACTTTTTCTCTCTCCTCTCTTCTTCTCAATCACTTTTTCTCTCGCACACATCTACTCAAATTCTCCCAAAATATCAAATCATCCCAAACTCCCAAAAAAACAACTCCCCCAAAATATACAACCAAACAAACCAAAAAAAATTCTAAACTCTCTCCCCAAAATTTTTTTCAAAAACAACTCTCCCAAAAACAAACCAAACAAGCCCTTAGTTTCCTATCAACTTTTCAATGTTTGTTTCTTGCAAGACCACTTCGTATTAGTGAGAGAGAGAGAGAGAGAGAGATATTCATTCAGCTAGGATCTCAATGCTACCAAGCTTAATATCAAACCCAGCTACATAAACTCATCCAGCAGTAACTCAGCAGTTTGTTTTAAAGATCACTGCCTATACTGACCAAAATATATATGTATATATATAAACTGAAGAACAATGTCTAAACCAATGCCAGGTGCTGTGAAAGCTGACTGTCAGCAGAAGATATTGTGTTCCAGACATTCTAAACCATACAATGTAGCAACCAACAGATATAATACATAAAATAGATACCTCCCCAAACCAGATTGACGAGAAGCGAGAAGGTGAACATGCAGATCCTCCAAAAGTCTTACATTCTTTCCCATTGTTGAGTTCTTTCCCAGCCAGCCGCCAAATCTGTTGAAGTTACGTTCTCCCTGCAAAAATAAATCCAACTTATTGTGTCAAAGACAACTAAGAATGTATATCCAAATTGCAGATGCTAACTTCAGAACCCACAAAAGCCAAAACGTGGCTCAAAAGTAAACCAAAACTTTTCAAACCTAATTAAATTCTAAAGATAATGGCAAGGTTGTTAAAATCGGGATCCTACGTTGGATCGTTGGAGGTGTTTATAGAATCGGATCGTAGAATTGAATCGAGGATCGTAAGATCCTACCGAAAAAGACAAATTACATAATTATTTAATTTAAATAAATATTTTCTAAAAAGTATACACAAAATGAGCATATATTCTATTAAAATAAAGTGAAGATATTGTGAAAAATATAATACTCCATATAAAATGTACATATAATATTATATAATAGACAACTCGATGGTAAAAGTTTTGTATTTCATCAAAAAAGAAGGTGAAGAAGAAGAATTCTATAACAAAATACTTAACAATTTACAATAATGCATAAAAAGTGATGAAAAATATTTAACAAAGTGAGATATGAAAATAGATTAAGAACTAAAAAGCGCAACTTAACCGAATGATAAGGTTTATCGTTAGCATCCCTGGTAGAGCGGATTCGAATAACAAAAATAATCTCTCCAAAAATTTAGATAAAGTTGCAATCATCTTACCCTCCTTAAACTCTGCTAAAACTAAGTTTGTTTTTCTGACTAGTTAATTTTCTTAAATTACTACAATATTTGAATGTTTGTTTCCTAATTTTTTTTTTTTTTGTCTATTTGATTTAATACTACTTAATTTTTATTATTTATTTTGACCACATAAATGGGTATTTAGACAATAAACATAAAATTTACAATAAAATATGTCATACAATACAATACAAAACAAGACTTGTAAATAGGATCGGATTCGGATCGAGATTCCACGATCCTATAAGATCCCATTACCAGGATCGAAAGATCCTTATATCCTACCTATAAGGATTTTTTTACACGATCCGGATCGATTATACTCAAATGGATCGTAAGATCGTAGGATCGTAAGATCTGGATCGGGATTCTGATAACCATGGATAATGGGACCAAAAGGATGAAATTTCAAGACTATGGAAATATAAGTTTTAAAATAAATTACAGGAACTGTGTAAAAAAGTAATCCATAAGGCCCCCCATCTAGATAACAAACTCCCCTTGAAGGCAATGGAAATACCATTGAATTAACGATTTTGTTGTAGCTCCATACTTAGCACCCTTGAAAAATTCTAGCCATCCACCTCATCATCTAAAGAGTGCAACAGATTTATGGAACCAAGTGTAGAAAAGTACACAAAGGAGCAAAAGAGGACCCCACCAACTAAAGACAATTCTCCTCGAGGACAATGAAAATGGCCGATGAATAAAAATTATGGTAGCTCCTCGCTTATCACCCTTGGCAAATTGAGTCAGCCAATATTGGTACCGATGGTACATAAATGCAATTCATTATTCAAACATCTATTCATTGTTCCTAGAGCTCCTTGTAAGGCTTGTTGGAAAACCGATTGTCAGACTTGATTAATAGCCCTTTGTTGTTCAAAATGAATGGTTTCATTTTCGTAATTTTCTAATTGATCCTATATGTGGTTGCTTTTTGTAGATAATTGTTAAATGAATTCTACATACACATGACCACATGTATTTTTTTTTTTCCTTCTTCCAGGTATTCCACTGATTCTTTCCACTATTTCCTAGTTAGAAATCAAGAATTCATTCTGAATGCTTTTCTCACTCAATTTAGTCATAAAACTCATAAGGAAAGTGTAAGAGGAGTTAATTTGAGCCCATTAAATTAGTTAGGCCCAATAGTCCAAGGTCGGTGGGCTCGAATTTATCATAAGTCCAAGATTGGTGGGCCCGGATTTATTGCCATCAAACGGGCCGAATCGCTCTAGCCTCGAAAGGGTTTGGATCCACGAACCTGGAGACTTACTCGAGCTCGAACTCGAAAGGGTTCGGATCCACAAACCTAGAGATCCGAAGCACTTTGCTTCGAACGGATTCAGACGCAATCTAGAAGCCGCTCCATTAATGAGTCCCAGAACACTTGCGAACTCGGAGCTTTCCGGGATCTACGTACCATAACCATGGGCATAATGGAATCCAAACAAAGGACCCGATCCCGAGGACGGTGAGTAGAGATAAATTCACTCTTCGGTTAAACTAGCCTATACCCAGGTCGAGGAGACACGATCTAGGGGGTCCCTGAGACTCAACAATATTTGTGGCAGGACGTTCTCTTGAACTACCCCTGACCCTTTTGCGGCAGGGCGTCCTCTAGGACTACCCCTAACCCTTTGGGATGATTGGAGATCATTGGTTAGGTGTGGCTAAGAAGAAGGATTCACCGAGAGGTTGATCTCCTCCTCGAGGGTTTTCCTCATCCTCGGAGAGGTCACCTCTTCGGACAAAGTGGTTAGAGAGAATATTCTCCATGTGCCTTACACATGGGCTCCATCCTACATCATGAGGTGCCTATAAATAACACCCATCCATAACTTTACAAGGGATGGATTTGGGAGAAAAAACTCTTGGGAAAGAACTAATTTCCCTTCTCCATTATCAACCTTGAGAGTGAAAGTGGGAGATACATGGGAGAGCCTTGCCATTATTCTCTCTCTAACTATTTTGCCTTCTTCACCCAATCTCTTTATCTCCATCATCTCCTTTCTTTTGTGTTCTTAGTTGAGACTATTGAAGAATCTAAGCCTCTCATCATCCTCTAGAGAATTCGAATTTTTCTTCAAGGATCTTCGAAAATCTTCGAATTTTCCAACAACTTTCCTGAACCCTCTCATACAGAAAGTAACTCAAAACCACCATATAAATCCAGCACCAGGATCCTTGAATGCCAAGTTTTAAGCAGTTATTTTACAGGAAAATTTTAATGAAATAATTAAAGAAAACAAAATCATTGTAAGTCATCATAATACCATGAAAGCTTTAGATGGATGCCATAATCTGTGTAAATGATTACAACATTTTAATTGGAGTTAAATTCCATAAAACCAAATAAATAAAACCATCATAAGTCATTATAAAACCATGCAGGTAAAGATGAAGGCAGCAAATCAGTGCAAGTGACTACATTTTAGTTGGAGCATTCCACAAGACCAAAGACAAGAAATGTTAAGAATATAGATGTATGAGCTGCCAGAAATCAACATCATCACCTGTTCAAGTGTCTCCCTTTGCCCATGCAACAAAGCAGCACTGTTACCAAGAAATAAAAACCAAACAGAAAAGAAAAAACGAACACCAATTAAAGCTATATGCAAGTGATTTTAGAAACCAGTATTCTCCAGCACTGACCAGGAAAAAATGAAAAAACACCTACGGAATTATACAAGATGCTAGAGTTCCAGTCTGAGAGAGCTGCCACTGTCGATATCTTCGAATCTGTACATTTATAATATCCCCATCAGCAATAGACTCCGCAGCACGGGCAATCATGCTCATCCGTTTCACCCCATTATCATCTTTGCCAGCCGAACTTGGCCTATAATTTATGTAGTTTTCCTGCCATTTATTATAAAAATAATAATTACCAGACAATTTTAAAGCAAAAGAGTGAGAAGTTTTGCAATGTTGCCTATGCAAAACTGTGAATGTCCAAAATAAGGCATCCAAATAAGCAGAAAGAAGTGATTTAGTGTTCCAGAACAACAAGATTACTGGTGTCATGACCAGGGAATGCAGCAGCTATGAAATTAGCAAACCTAACCAAACAACAAAAAATAAATAAACAAGAAAATAAAATGCAAGAGGGACATATACAAGAAGGCTGGTTCTGATATGTTAGAGAATCATCTCAAACACCGCAGCATTAAGGGTTTACCAAGAGTTTCGATTACACAAAATAGTATTTTGACTAACCATCAAACCAAATTGAGTTAACAGATAGGAGGATACCTGAATAAGTAGAGGGACTAGATCAGGATCACTCATGCTTAGGTCAATCCGCTCATCCATTCGCAATTTCCCTCCATTAAAGCCAAAGAGCCTGCAGAAGCAAAAGGTAAGTTGGTCTGACGTGCACTTCAGGTGGAATGAAAAGCTCCATGATCATACAAGGAATCAAATTACAAGAAGTTTTGTTGCATAAGCATAACAAACTGTACTTTGTGTATAGAAAAATTCTATTATATATAAATATATAATTAAACCACAAATCGCCAGAAGGGACAGACTGACAATTTAGGAGCTCGCATTTATACTTGAGCTGCCAGCTTTGTGACCAATTGATAACAGAAGCTGAAAATTTGTTTCAATCACCAACCTAAAAAGATACTGTACAGAAAACAAGAAGGAAAAACCTAACAGCACAAACAACTACACCACCTACGCCATGAAAAGATATTATGCAAGCACAAATAAAAGAGGAAAAATGTCATACTTATCAACAGCTGTGAATGGTGAAATATCTACATCCTTTGCACTACTAAGAAGGCGCTGTCTAACGTCATCATATTTAATGACTGACATGGAGAGACTCATATACTGCAACTGGTTCAGAGCCATGCGCACATCTCCATTGACTCTTTCTGCAAGCTCTTCAAGTGCAATCTAAAATAATAAACAAACAAAAAATCTTAGCAGATTTGATAACAGTGTTGCTTCAAAAGGGCTATTGGACGAAATATGGCACTAATAAACTGTTCTTTTAAATAGGAAAAACAATAAGAAGTGAAAGGACAGCTAGAAAAATGTCAATCAAATCCCTAAAACCTATTGGTAGAAACAACATTCTTAAAGTATATATCAAAGGAACTTCATAGACTCTTCTGGAAAAAACTAGAATGATCAAAATATCATAAAATAAAAATCCAAATAAATGAAGGATAACCCTGCAGGAGATATCAGATTGATTAATCAACAGTAGTTTTCACAATTCCAAGTAAGACAATTATGTACTTCATTGCATTTCTGACTTCTGACTAAGCACATTTTGTATCACATAAAGGATAAATTTGGCAATTTTTTGGGGTGAGAGAGAGGAAAAAAAGCTAAACTGTTCAAGCAGGTTTACCCAAAGATCAAAATGGTTGCTGTAAAAATTTCTAGACATAATCAGTTTATGTGTGCATGTGTCTATACTTTTATTGTTCAGGTTTTAATCAAATGCATTGTGAAAAAACAAACCATTTGAAATATTACTTTTGACAATACAGATGTATGAATAGATCATTAAGAAAGAAAAATGACTGATGGATTCAATATGCTCTTGAATTCCCTTTCACAACTCATGCACTTGCACAAGTTGCATGTTCATCCTT